TCTGTTATGTTATCGGACAATGTGGCCTTAAGATGAAAATACCTGCAGTCAACTTCATGTCAATAAAAACTTGGCATTGTTGTTTCCACTGGGAATTATTTCAAGTTCATCTTGAATGATTAGCTTTGTTTGTATTTTATTATCTGTGAATCAAAGTTAAGATTCTGAGATATCAGAACCTGGAATAGTCCTGAAGAGTCATTGAGCCAAAACAGGACAGATTTATAAATCAAGAGTAGATAACTTCCTAGTTTTTTTCGTCTTCATTACCTGAGGTGGTATGAATAAAATTTGACAAGTTTCTTTTTATACCTTCTGAAATCTTGGTCTCATTGTATGTTACTTCATTAGGAAGAAATTCCCTAAGTAATCTAAAGATAGTGGTGGTGTGTTATCCCGCATGTTATTCTAACAACAACTGTTGTGAAGTGTTGCACATCTGTTTGTTTCCTCTTGTGTGCTTAGTTATTTTATATCCCTCCCTTCCAATAAAGTTTTGTGAGAATCCACAATGCTTCTTCTGTGAAGCCTGAACACAACACTCTTCTGCGTTAGTGTTGCTGAATTCCCAGTTCTGAGGATTTTCTGTCCCTGTCTAGACTTCTAAAAGTCAAGGAGTGTGGCTTTAAGCAACAAAGCAGAGGTGCATTCATGCACGCACACAAGCATGGACACACACAGACACACACAGAAAATCCATAGGTCTGCTGTAGTGGCACACACTGCCTATGCGATTTATGGTCCAATTTGGAAGCTTTTTTCCTCATGAGAAAGCCCTGCGCCATTTCATGTCCCAGTACAGACAAAAATCGGCATGCCAGAGTTGGCATTTTTCTGTGTGCAGGAACGTGTCATGTCAGCAGAGATTCCAAGAAAAACTGCAAGTTAATGTTCTGTTAAATGGTTGTGGAAATTATACATTATTACTCTTGCAAGAGAACTTTAGAAGTTACCATAGCATCGCGGGAACCTCTTGCCTCCACAGCCAAGGCAACTGATGGAATCCAAAACATGTAAGCAGAGTCAATCATAACAGCCTCTTGTATCTTTTCTCTGACTTTTGCTGATCCAATTCTGCCATTCTTAGCCATCCACAGATTTCCTGCTGAAGGAAATCATTCCAACCAGAGGGTGTTTTTTTTAATGGATTGTTGTGCTTTGTTGATTTAAATGTGTTTTAGTATTGATTTTATTTACCATTTTAAATATAATACTTGCTTAATTCTTTTTAAATACTTATAAACTTACTGTTTTTAGCTTTTAAATATTATGTTTTTAATCATGTAAGCTGCCTTGGGTCTTTTTTAAGGAGAAAGGTGGGATTTGCTGTCATTTTAAATAAATACATAACAGTAAATTTCCCCTTGCTATGCCTTATGGCTGGAGCTCCCTGCCAGAACAACTCTATCCAAATAAGCTCCCTTATGTTCTTTAAATCCCTCCTCAAAATATTTTTCTAGGACGTTTTTGCATGCCCCTCACTAGCCCTTAGACCAGCTATTCTAGACCATTTTCGGACAGAGCTATAAACAGAATATGAAAAGAATGTAGGCCATATTCCCCTGTTGAGAATGGCTGCCCTAGACTAATTTTGGCAGGGCTGACTTTATTTTTCACTTACTACATTTATACTCTACCCTTCCCTTTGTACTCCACGTAGGTTCCATATGAACCTACCTGGCGGTTAAGATCTAGCCAAGGGGCCCTTTTGAAAGAGCTGTCCCTTAAGGAGGTAAGACAAAGGGCCTTTTCGGCAGCTGCCCCCAGACTATGGAATGCTCTCCTGACTGAGATTCGTCTGGCACCGACACTGATGACATTTTGGCGCCAGGTCAAAACCTTCCTGTTCCAGAAGGCTTTTAATTGAAATAATATTAGCTATGGGTCCGATGGCAATTTATATATATATTTAATTGTATTTTAATTGTTCTTAATTTTTATTGTATTTTAAATGTTGTAAGCCGCCCAGAGACCTTTGGGTAGTGTGGGCAGCATATAAATTAAATAAATAATAAATAATAATAATAAGCTCAAGGATGCTTACAAGTATAAAACAACAAAAACAGCAGTACAAACATATTCATTGACATCCTTTTCTTTTCAAAAAACCTTGTTTAAGAAATCTTGTTGGAATGTTAATTAAAAGCTTCCATGGAGGCTCTCAATGGACACCAGCTTCAAATGAGAAATCTTGTTGGAATGTTAATTAAAAGCTTCCATGGAGACTCTCAGTGGGCATCAGTTTCAAATGGGAAACACAAACGGTGAAGTTCCACCTTCCTATGTTGTGTCACAAAATAGTACACGCAACATGGCAAGTAAACTATGGTTTCAGGAGGAATGCAAAGACCTGGGAGGCCATAAAAAATCACCTTACAAAATGAGACAAGAGGCATAGCATATGGTTGGTAGGAACAATACCAAGAACATCAGTACAGAGTCTGGTTCACTAAGGGGAACCAAGAGTCAATCTGTAAGTGCCTGGAAGCAGTTGTCATGAGCAGAGCCATTCCTCTCATGGAAAGCAGATCCTAGATCCAGCCAAGGGTTATGGTTACTGTCTTTGCTCAATCAGTTTGGTTCAAAAGGAAACCATTACTGAAAACAGGAAGTGATATTGGGAGGATGAGATAATAATGTAACTCATCTTGAAAATATTTGTCTTCTTTTCTTTTCTTTTTCCTGCCACTGGTAAATCAACCATACACCTTTAGGATGACTTAGAACATTTCTTTGGCAAGAATTCTCCAATTAAAACATACTTGTATATCTTTGAAATAATGTATTCTAAGACAGCCTCAAGCATAAAATATTCTACTTAATTAGCACAGCATTTTCTGACAAGTGACACTCTTTCTTTTCCTACTGGCTTTCTTACAAGCAACCTCAGGGCTTAATCACACCTGCCAAAAGAACCCCAGTTATACCAATTCTTTCCATACCACTGTTACACCAATACATTTATTTTTGAGGTCACGTGGTATATATATATAATTTTCCTTGATATTTCCTGGGGCACTGGTGGAAAACTCTAACTGATATATTGATATAGCAAAAAGGGATTCCTGTTTGGGAATGGTTGATCTGCAGTGTTTGCATTTCTGGAAGTAATGCATTGCCTGCCATGGTCTTGGCCCCCACCATGGTCTTGGCCAGATGGCTCCACTTAGTGCCACTTGGCAGACAGTAAGTAAAGCATCAAGCAGTAAACAGGACAAATGGCACATAGAAGTCAAACCATGCTGAGATTGTCCTTGTAAAGCCGTAGATCTTGGTTTCTCAATGTATCGATATACTTACTGCTCATGAAAACAATTAGAAATACAGTGGACCCTCGACTTACAGATGGCTCCACTTACAGACTTTTCCAGTTACAGACTTCTCTGGCTGCAAAATTTAGGTTCGACTTGCAGCCGGAGAATCGACCTACAGACTGGAAAAAAAATGGAACAAAAACGGCCGATAATGGATTAATCAATTTTCAATGCATTGTAGGTCAATGGAGCCTCGACCTACAGACTTTTCGACCTGCAGCCACCATTCCAATATGGATTAATTCCGTAAATCGAGGGTCCACTGTAATAATAATCTCAGGGCACCCGCTTGGCAGTCATGGAGACTGCCTTCCTTGGGAACCAAAGATGGGGAAATAATCTATAGGAACATGCACACGTGCTATACTGGTAAGGAATGAATTGATACATCATCGGTACAATTTTAAACCACCCTCTTGGTGAGGGGAAACAAACTGGAAATAAACAGCTGGCCAAGAAACATGAGTCGATCCTGATTGTGCGTTCAGATGTTTATGAAATGATATAACAAATGGCCAAATCAGCATAACTGGAGTTCTTTTGCTAGATGTGATCAAGCCCTCTTACTTAACAGACCTGGTGGTCTCTGAACTTTGCTTAGGCTAGTGACTTTTTAAAAAAGGAAATGGATTCCAAAGAGAGTAGCAAATGGAAAGTTAAACAAGTAAAACCATTAAGAAAGAATATATATGGTAAAAGAATGGCTTTCAGATTTCTTGCTTTCAAGAAAACATGAGTTGGTCTGTGATGTTTTGTGCTAAATCTTATTGTTAGTCTCAATGTGGTATACTAACTAAATCAATGGGAATTACATAAATATTTACATAGCCAAGTTCCATTAATTGAGTGGGACTGCTTTGTGGAGCCAACAATTGGCTTTTGTTCTTTTCTCCTTTGGATAAAGAAGAAAATAGAGACCCCCCCAATTCCATATGTAGATCCGAACTGAATGGACACCTAAAACTTACCTCAGCACTCGTGACAGGATAGTGTCCTTTAGCACAACTGAGTCAGCAAGCTAGTTGTAATATTGCAGAAGGTGGATACATTACCACTGTAGTTCAACATGGGGTAACTTTACTTCTTTTGTAGTGTAACTTAGTTATTGTAAGAATTACTTGCCTATGTTGTCACATGGTATAAGTACCAGCTTGTGTCATACCTCTGATTCTGCCTCAGCCTCATGCTCAGTTGTGGGTATGGAAGAAATGATAATGGAGGAACATATATTGTTTTTGAATTGCAAACTACCAAACTGTGACCTTTAGAGGTTTTTCAAAAAATAACTAAACTATTTTAACCACCTTTGAGGAATGGAAAGTATAGATTTCCTTTTTTCGAAAGCATCACTGCAACAAACTAATGCCTGAGTGGGAGAAAGGGGGAACTGGTACTCCAATTACTTTTTAAAAGGGCCTTTCCAAGCTCTGCATATGATTAAAGATCTTTGTACAGTATGATCCATATTCTAACTAAATTCATGCCCTCTTGCCAACTGCCATACTATAAGAGTCATGGGTATTCTCGGCTAAAGCAAACATTCCCATACTTCAATTAACTTGAATGAGATACTTATTGAGGTACGATTTCTTCTCTCTTCTTTCCAGTGAAAATGCTTGCATAGCAAACAGCGTTCTGTAAGGGTTTTTTCTCCCCGAATAAAATGGGATGTTGAGCCACACTTACCGCCCTGATACTTTCAAAATGTCCTCCTTCTCTCTCAAAATCAATGGGCTGCCCATTCAGAGTCCAGCGGAATATGACGTCTAAGGTGGGGTCATGAATGGCCTTGCAGCTGAGGACAATGCTTTCACCCACAGTTAGCTCTGTCCGCTTAGGAGACAGTTCTATCCTGGTAGGCTCTAAAGAGAACAAAGAAATCAATGGTCAGAATAGCAGTGTAACCATTTCCCTTTATAAATAGCAGGGTGGGGGGACTTGACCTCCAAATTTTGGAGGCATGCTCTGACCTGAGAGTAAACCACCTGTCAGTAACACCATCTCTTTGCTGTTTCTCAACGTAGATAGAAGGCTTAGGTAAAATACATGGGTTTACTCACCATTTTGCAGCAGGGCAGAGGGAAGTGCAATCTTCCAGATGTTGTTGGACAGCACATCCCATAATCCTTAACCATTAGCTCTGCTGGTTAGATGGAGCCTGATAGAATTTGAACTGCCAAATACTTCCCTGGCCTGATTTATGGAAAAGATTGGTTTCTGTTTGTCTGCACCATGAAGATCACCAAGTGTGGAGGTGGGGAAAAACCTCTAACGCAAGGTAAACAAACTACCTTGAGCATTTCAGTTAATAACAGACATCTTCTATGGGGTATCGTATATGTGTTTTTGACTATGACTCATATAATCCCTGACCTATGGTCATCCTGGCTGGAGATATCAAGAGTGGAAGTCCTAAACATCTGAAAGACACCATATTAGGGAAGTCAGTATGATATAATCATCACCAAAACCTAGAACAGTTGGGAAGTTTTGTTTCAAATAATGTCTGAAGCACCTATGGGCATGCTTCCAGACAGGCTGTGATGAGTGTACCTCATCTATAAAGCGGTCCCCATTTTGGTAGTGGCTTCACAACAATCATTAGTGGGAAAGCCCTTTTCCTCCCAATTAGCATCTCATAAAGGTTGTAAATGAAGAACAATAATGTATGCGATATGTTATTTCTACTGCTAACAATGGAATTTCTAGAATTACCTGCACTGACATTTCTATTTACGTTGTGTTGTACCCTTTTGATGTTCTCATATCCTCTTTTTACATTTCTATGGCATTTGCAATTGCTTGCGTTGGGACTGCAGATAAGTGGCAACCTCTAAGATAGGAGAGTCAGAAGGTATGGAGGAGGAAGCAAGCCAACATGACCATCTTGCCCCTTGATCTCTCCCTTCCTCATGGACCGGGTCAACAGGTATTCCTGTAGATGCTCCTTGATTACAGGTATCCGTCTTAAGAGGCTGTCTGAATCAGATATACACTTATGTCGTGGTTAATCACCTGGCAGATATGCTTGGATTGTATTCCTGCGTTGAGCAGAGGGACTTGATGGCCTTGTAGGCCCCTTCTATTTTCATGTTTCTATGATACTATGGTTCCGTTCATAGCTAGATCAGGACAAGGTACCTGTGCTTTAAAAAGCTACAAAAGTTATATAAAGCAAAGAAAACACATTTGTGCATCTGTAGTCTTACCTTTAACAAATACAGAAGCTGTTATGTCTGCGGAACCAAATACATTTTCTCCTCGGCAGACGTATCTTCCTTCATCAGATTTGGTGGCATTCAGGATTCTCAGGTTCCCATCTGGAAGAACAGTTATCCTGAAAATTATAAAAAAGGTTTTTATCCTGAAATAGCATATACAGAATTATCTTAAATGCAGACAGCTTCTTAGAGTCTTCTTTTCAGTCTCATAAATAGACCAATGTGTCTTGTCTGATATTTTTGTACAGTGATGACAATACCAATTCAACTGTGCCAGTCTTTTAATAGAAACGAAATATAAATAATTTTCATATTCACTTCTTCAGTAACACAAAGAATACGTCCCATCCCCCAGTGGATTTATCTGCTAAGACATCTTATAAAACTGATGGACGTTAAACATATGAGTTTTTATTAAAAAAGACGTCGGTATTTCAGATTTGAAAAGTGCAACTATTATCAAAATATATTTTCATATTAAGCACCAGCTGTTGAACTGGAATCTAACAGTATTCTTAAAGATTAGATATGTAAAAGAATAGTGTTAAGAAGTGAAAGACGGTGAGCAAAGAAGGAATTAATTGCATATAGCCATAAGATTATTAATAGTACATTGTATGGAAGGTTAGCAAAAAGATGAAGATGAATTTTCACCTGCAATCCATTATATTTTCATTTCCTATAATTATGCGACACATTATCTAAGTGAAGTTGGAGGTGCTAAAGATGGGACTCAACCTCATAAGAAATGCACCCTGCTTTTGGAAATTGATCTTAGTAGAGAAATTTATCTACTATTGTGATGTAGTCACTGTGACCCAACCTGCGAGACCCTTACTCCAGGCTGCACAGGGAAGATACACACAAGCACACTGTTGCTCCTTGTTGCAAATCAACCCTGCACAGAACATGAATCAACCCAAAATGCTTCAGAATCTCCGAGTGTCCTCAAACACTGGATTAGCATCTTCAGCTCTTTAGCAGCTGTCTGAATCAACAACAGCTTAGGTAAAATTTTAATTGTTTTATTTTTTTATAGTAGCATAGCATAGACAAAAATTTCCATTAATTTCAGCAGTGAATACAAAAACCATCCTCAGGAATCATAAGCAGAACTTACAGAGCAAAAGTCATGATAAAGCTGTTTCCACAGAAAACAAAGGAAAGTGAGCTCTCTAACTATGCCCACAGACACGTACAGAATTCTTCAGAGCAGATAGCATACCAGCATAGCATGACCATACTAAGTCATAATGACCACTCCATGATGATGATACAAGATGGAAGGTGTCTTTGTTCTTTTTCACTCTCTCTTAAATCCCATCATCCCACTGACCACAAGCCTGCAAACCAACCAATCATGTAGCTTCATAGAATGGGCCCTAGCTCTACCATCCACGTTGGTTAATTAGCTCACTTCAGTTGCAAGGTATGCTCAAGGTCTAGACCGTCTTGGTCCTCCCTTATCTGGAGACAGATTCTCAATCCACATTCTCAAAACAAGCGAGCCCATCTGGCGCATTTCACAGCATTTTAGAACTTGAAATGAGCCCTCTATTCACTCCATAGATATTATGGACTTGGTGCTAATCCACAATTCACAATCATATGTTTAACGTCCATCTCCCACACTAACACACATGATTGCAAGGCTTGATGTGAGACAGCAATGATGGGCTGACTTCTTAATTTGCAGCCATTTCAAAACCTATTAGAAACATGATCAGGGGCCTTCAGGGGCCTTCAAGATGCTCATCCACAGCACCTGAGCAGTTAGCCCACAGGTCACCCATCTGTGAAGGCTAGGCTGATTACAGGTACTGTACATAGCAGTCTTCCTTGCTATATGGTATGACATGGTCATTATTTATAAATTGCCATGTGTTTGTATAAGTTAGAACACATGTACTATATTCTCTTTTTTTCTAGTTCATTGTCATCAGTTATTAAAGAGCAGACCGGGTAGGTGGGGCTCGTCAGCCATGGAAGGCAGCCCATCTAGGAGAAGGAAAACTCTGATTTCAAACCTCCACTGCCTTGTGGCTATATCCACTCATGGAAAAGGCTTCAGGAGTTAACCTAGAGGCAAAATCTGGAGCTGGAGTCCTGAAGGCAGTTTGTGTCGTTCTGTCAACTCCTGCGACGTTGCTGGAACCAGTTGTATTGGCTCTTACCTTTCCATTGGACCATTTCAGCAACGTGGAGAGGGGGGGATCTGCTGCTTGGGTAACAGCCTATCCTCCATATTACTTTACCCAGGCTTCATGCTCTGGAGAGGACACTCTTCGATTCAGAGCATGTTACCATAGTCTCTCAAGACTGAAGGATACCTATGTCATCAGTTCCTCCCCTTGCTTCCCACTATGGCCAAGATATATGGGAGGAGAATCAGAGGTATCTTGAGGTTGCTATCAAAGGCTAGAGAATCATATAATTGTCATGTTGGGAGAAGGAGCAATTGTAATCAAATTTCACTCCCTGGCAGGAAGTCTATACTTACAGGAAATCTACACTTACAGGATCCTTGATAGGTTACCATCTAATTAGCACCCTCAGAGGTAGCTCATTCTTCAAAATGGCCACTACAAACTGGGACTGTGACAGTTAACCTAGCTTTAACAGTTAGGTTAAAGATACCTGCTCTTCCATTCCTTAAAAAACCTTATTGTTTATAGCTAATTGTCCAGGGCCTGCTCCACTTTAGGATCACTACATATGAGGAGGGAAGCTTTAAATATGTTTACCAGTTCTACTGTCTCCTACATGTCTCCCCATGTGGTGAGTTCTACTGGCTCCTGATTTTGACTCTAAATGGCAGCAGAACAGCCTACAATTTGGCTGGAACTTGTCTGGCAAAAGAATATCCCTAAATGTATTTGACCAAGGATTCATTTCCCATTCACTGCTTATTGATTTGCCTCCTTTCTTCACAGAATCCCAGCAGAGTGTCAACAAAGTAAAACAATGACAATGGAGACTATCAAAGTAGATCACAGGAATCAAAATGGAGTATATCATTCCTTTTGTTTTTGACATTCCAACCAGCACACCATCCACGCACAAAAGCCAGGCAACAGCTGGCCGCAGGGAAGCCTGATATTTGCAGAAATGCACAAAAGACATTTGGGAAAATAAATTTAAATAAGGGAATGGAGGGACAAAAGAATCGGTGGAAAACAACAAGAAAAGAAAAGAAAAAGAAGGGAAAAAAGACGGGTCTTGTTTTCCATGGAGAGGTGGAAGACCTTGATGTTGAGAGAAGGTCTTGGTCTTAGCATGCAAGCTCTGGAAAATTTCTGATGAGAAGTTTTTGAAAGACAGTAAGACAGCAATATCCATAGAGATTGGGTCCAAGTCTCCTCCACGGATGCTGAAAACCATGGATATGCAAATTCTATTTCTAGCATATTCTCTGGTTCCCTCTAGTGGTCAGTTTTGTTAATACATCTTTGCAATGTATATTTCTCGGTTTTTAAATTTAATATTTTTTTAAGGCAGTGGATAATTGAAACCGCATGTATTGATCCCGCAGATATAGCAGTCCTACTGTCTGCTTCACATCCATATCATAAGCCCCCATGACATCACACAGGCCCTAATTTCAGGTTTTGACCCTGAAGTGTCCAGGAATGGGATGTTGCCTATCTGGCAATCCTGCCACAATTTTAGGCAGGCTTGTAGTGAAGAAGGCAGTTCTTTAGATGAAGGGTTCATAACACAATCTGCCAACTGTGTGCAATTCCATCAATGCAATCCCTAAACCAGACTAATAAATTACTACATGTTGATTGCCAAGCTGCACCCCTACCTGGATAAGAAATGTCTAACCGCAGTGGTTCATGTGCTGGTACTCTCCATAGTAAGACTACTGTAATGTTCTCTATGTAAGGTTGTCCTTGAAGACAGTATGGGAAACTTCAGCAGGTCCAAAAGGTGGTGACCAGGCTGATATGAACACATATCCTCAGTCTTGGCACGCCTTTATTGTCTCCCTGTTAGTTTCCATGCTCAATTTAACGTCCTATAATGTTTTTGTTGCTTAGTCATTTAGTCGTATCCGACTCTTCATGACCCCATAGACCAGAGCACGCCAGCCCTCATGTCTTCCACTGCCTCCCGGAGTTGGGTCAAATTCATGTTGGTCACTTCGATGACACTGTCCAACCATCTCATTCTCTGTCGTCCTCTTCTCTTGCCTTTACTCTTTCCTAACATGGGCGTCTTTTCCAGGGAGTCTTGTCTTCTCATGAGATGGCCAAAGTATTGAAGCCTCAGCTTCAGGGTCTGTCCTTCCAGTGATTTCCTTTAGTTTATAATGGTTTTATAATGGTTTAGGACCCTTATATTTAGTGGAATGCCACTCCCCCCAAAATAGCTACTTATCTCACGTGCATCTTGCACTCATTGAATCCAAGAATGATAACACCTAAGAAGGCCAAAAGAGCCAACAAGGACAACCAAACATTTGTGGTTCACCAGCCACTACCCCTCTTTTGTGGTAGAGTACCGCTTATAAGATTTATTGATGGCAGAGAGTCTCATTGTCAGGACAAATGCACTCCCATTTATTTGAAATGTGAATCCGGCTCTAAGTTTTAAGAAACTCAAGGGATGGGGTCAAGACATGTGGAAGAAAATCCAGGGGCATGGAAAAGTCAGGTGCTCTGTATACTGCATGGAGGAGACAGGAAAAATCCAAAGGGGGGGAAAACAAGACAAAAACATGGGGCGCCTTAAAGACTAGCTGTTATATTTCAATGTGCGCTTTTATGGATCAAGTCCACTTCTTCAGACATACGAAATAAAATGAGATACAGAGGGGAATACAGAATTCGCCATTAAAGCATTCAAAACATTCATTGGCTTTAAGAATCTTGGGCATGTGGTTACCTCGTTGAGCCTTCTTGCTCAAAGAATGACTGGGCCAAGTATTTCCCGTCTTGTAACTGTGCATTAGGGTCCCCCTTCCCCCCAGGTTTAGAACTACAATCTACAGCACATGATTGTTTTCAAAACTAAAAGAGATCACTCCAGTTATATCAACACAAGGCAGGGCAGATGTATGATAATTATAGAAATAAAATTTCTAGACACGTAATTACCAGTAAGGACAATT